GTTTTGTCTATTAATATACTCACACTCAAACACATGGTTACTGTTTTATTTAATTTATTTTTAATAAATATATTTATTATTTTTAAATGTCTTATTGTGATTAATGAACTGTATAAAATTAATTGTTCTTCTGTAATTGTTTTGTAGCTTTGGCAATATTGTCGTTTTACATTCATGCCAATAAAGCTAGATTGAATTGAATTGACTTGGTCATGGTAAGACTTTCGGAGTGAAGAAGAGTCTACATAGGATCAGAGTCCAGCTGGACTATGACAGGGGGGAGGTGTCCTTCTACGACCCTGAAGACATGACTCACATCTGCACTCACAGAGACACTTTCTAGATCACATTAGAAAAATCAGCATGAATAAAAGTTAAAGCAGATTAAAATGATATCTAAATACTGAAATTGTTTTATATCATCCGGCCTTGAGCTTTCATCCAGGTTCAAATCAATTCTAATGTTCAGATTCTAACATGTTAGCCTGGTCAGCAGCATCTGGTTTTTAATCAGACCACAATATAACATGTCAAGTATCCACTATACCAACATGTTGCTTCCTGTTGTGGGATTCTTTAACTTTAATTATCGTCAAACATCAGTTTTACTTTGAGAGAGAAATTTTCACAGTGTTTTGTAAAGATTTGGTGCCTTGCATCTTCAGAATAAAAAAAAAACATGGTGCCTCCTGCTGAGCCTAAACTCTGTTTCTTCTTCTCTGCACTGTTGATGAAGGAGGAGGCTCTTCCTAGGTAAGCAGGTGCCATGCACAGAAATGTGACCTCAACACGGACTTCAGCAGCTCCAGATGCATCAACAGTCAACAGCTCATCTTTGAACCTGTTGATGAGCTCTGTGAGGATGCAGAGGGAGAGACTTTACATCAAACTGTAATGCTGATGCTAAGATGTGAGATCGTAATGCAGCACAGGCTTTACATTAGTGAATGAAATGAAACATATTGCAGAACATGACACAGGGTAGCGCAGCAGATCATTAAAGGGCGCCCCCTACAGATAGTCAGATTTAATCACAAGTAAACAGAAAGAAGAAAAGATCCCAGTTTTACTCTTTATGACTGACAGGTGTGAAGAAACATCAGCAATAACTTCAGAAATACAGATTCCTTTTCCTCCTTTTTGGGGGGGTGAAAAGTTCTGGATCTGGATCTTATTGAGCAAAGACAGATGAAGATGAATCGTGAGCGCACACTCTACGAGCAGAGGTGGACAGAAGAGTCAGTGTTCGAGGTTTACAGTTAGCTCCAGATGAAATGAGTTACGGTGGGATCCCCGTGGTCATAAATCATCTACACCAGACTTGGATGACAATTCTTTCCCCAGTTCAGTCACATGTTGGACAAATCATTGTGTGTTTGATTTCTTAATCCAGAGTGAATCTGCAGCTCCCACCACAGGTTCAAAGGTCCATGCAAAGCTTCTGAAGTTATAACTTTCCTGTGTGGCTTGATGGGACTCTGCATGAAACAGGGCGTCTACATTTATTTTTTTATACAGTGAAAATGAATAAAACTGTAAAGTTACATGGTCAACAATAAAGATGTAACCTGCTTTTAACGTACAGAGCACAACCTGTACAATGCAATCACTGACAGCTTAAGCTACTGTAAGTTAACACACCACCAGACTCTCAAAGCAGTGTAACTTTATAACTAAATAAACCTGTAAGGTTACATGATCAACAATAAACCTGTAACCTCTTTCTAGCTAACGGCAATAATTAAGGTGATGGCAGCCAGCGGGACGTCGGCCTAAATAATTACGTTAATCGACCACCACAAGTTTGGCAAGTGAACAAACGCTCATTCATCTTTTCTCTCATAGGTTGTAGCTGAAGCAAGAAGCAAGCTAACGCTAGATGGAAAATGTAGAAACAATCTTTGACTAATAATTGAGACACCACGGTCACTTACCAGAAAAAGAAAAGCTTTCATCGTTCACACTGAATTTTGTTAGGGCTCGTTTTGCCACCTGCTGTTGTTGCCATGGTTACTTGTTTAATACACCTTGTGTACTTATTTTAAAGGCTGGTTAAAGTGTTGACCTCCTACATTAACAGGCACTTGCCATCCAATCAGAAACGGGTGTTTTCTGCTGCTATGGTTTATAAAAGCAGATAACACAACACAAAGAAAATGTGTTTTCAGTTTCATAAGATGTTTGAATACTGTGAGAAAACCTCAAGTGAAGGTAATCAGGTTGAACTTAACTCTACGCACACATACAGGCAGTCTTCATCATATTTATACTGTAAATATTTTCCAGGATTGTGTGGATCATACTGATGGTCTGAGACTGCGGGCCTCCCCTCAGACAAAGCTTGGGAAACGGGATAAAGATTATAAAATAGCCTTATATTGCTGAACATAACATCTGACTACACCAAATATTTTCTCTCCTAAGGTATTTATTAGTTTCTGACTCTGATGGGGGGAAACAGTTCCCAGTAACATCTGTCTCTCTGAACTCTCACACATGTAGGCTATTCTATGTGATCTCCTTTTGATAACTAATGCAATAAGTAAAGTAATATTGTTTCACTTCCATTCACTGAGTGTCCCCTGAAACTGTCTGGAGCCCCCCTGAAGAGGCCCGCCTCACACTTTGAAAACCCCTGGTGCACAGTATGTGACTGCACTGACAGATTTCTTCCCTTCACAAGATGGAGACAAAGAACACATTTTGTTCACAGTCTGGTCGTTTTGAACTCTCAACATTGTATTTGTTGTCATTGTTGAGTGTATCCCGTGTTGGTCTGTTGCCTGAGTTTGTTCCTGCTGTTTTTGGACCTCTGTTTGTAAGTGTGCTCTCTTTTTGTTAATAAATCGTTGGACTATATCTGCTCAGCTCTGGTGTCCTGCGTTTGGGTTCTCAACCTGCTCAACCAAAACTACGACACTTAGTCCAAGGACTTTGTGGACATGTTTTTGGATTTCATGGCGCTAAAGAGCACGTGGGAGGGGACTAGAGACGAGGGCTTCAAAAGAGCAATTGGTTCCAAGGCTCAGCAAATGGCGACAGCCGAGCCACAGCTGAAGGACAATTTGTTTGGCCACGAGGTTGTTTTCCTCCACGCCTCTGCTTCCTCCCCTGCATCTCAGCCTGCTAGCGCCCCAGCGGCTAGCCACCCACCTGGCCTGCCTGGCCCGCTAGCCCTGCTTGCCGCCTGCCTGATCTGTGGTCCGTGGTCCGATCGATGCCTGTTCCTGGTTCCTCGTCGGTGGTCCGACCAGTTCCTGCCCTCCGGTTCCTCGTCGGTGGTCCGACCGACTCCTGCACTGAGGTCTCCGTCGGTGGTCCGACCAGTTCCTGTCTGTGGTCCCACTGACACCAGCTCTAGGATCTCCGTTGGTGGTCAAACCGATTCCTGCTCCTCGGGTACGGTCCATGGTCTCCAGCCCTGCCGTCCTGACGGTGGTCAGTCTCCGGACCTCAGGCCAGAGAGATCTCTTCTTCGCCGCCGGCCTCCAGCGAGGATTTGCCTTCGCAGCCAGGCTCCAGCTCAGCCCCCAGTGGGTTTCCCACCTCACTGTTGGCCGTTCTGCCAACCCCCGGAACTCTGCCAGTTGGATCCATGTTTGGGTCGTCCCTCTGATCTGCCCAGCCTGTTTGGTCGTCCTCCGGGTCGACCTCCTGAACTGTTTTGCCCTCCTGACGTGCTCGGTGGACCTGTTCTGCATGTTGGGCCATCCTCCTGGACTTTATGACCCCCCCCTGCCCTGTTCTCAGCCACCAGCTTGAGTGTTCCCTGTTTGGCCCCCCTGTCTGCTCCCTGGACTAACTGTCTCTTTTTCTGGCCCTCCTCCTGTTCTCCCTCCACCCACTCTGGTTCGAGTTTGAGTTTGGGTTCTCAACCTGCTCAACCACCACTACTGCACATAACCGACCGATAGTAATAATAGTGAGTTTAGTCTCATGTTTAAAATTTTTTACCCAGTGAATTTTACAGAGGCCTACGCTGGGGATGATAAGGAGTTGAAAATAAATGAAATTTAAACAAACCCTTTCCTTTGCTGTCGTGGTAACAGGTTGTTCTATATTTAATCCAACTGGATTAAATAAACACAGTCGTTGTTTATGAGCAGTTTCATTCTTTATTTGGTGAAAGAAAATTACAGATCACATTTGACCCATTTTGTCTTTTGTGTTGGTCTTCCTTCAGACACCTGTACATGGAAATTGTCCTGGCGTGAGCGCGGGTCTCGGGGGAGGGCAAAGGTCATCAGGCTAGAAGGCGGGATTTGAAGAAGACGGTAACATAAAGTAATGGCGCAGCAGAAGCAGCAGGAAGGTAATCACAGCTCAGTGCAGCAAAAGATGAATCTATGATGTTAATGGACAAATAAGTACAATTATTTTATTTAATAAAAGTTATTCATTAACGTTGTTAATATAAATAATCATATAATCTTTGAAAATAAGCCTTTTATTTTATACTATTGTGGTATTTTATTCTTTTTTATTAATTTTATATGCAACATTTGTGCATATGAACAGATAATTAAACAGATGCACCAATCATGCTGGTTGTCTTTGGTTTTCTATTTGTGCTGTTTACTATGACAGCATGCAATGAGACTGTTAACTGTTGATGCTGCTTAATATCCAGCTTTCACTGGTGTGGAAAAGGCAAATCAAGATTGAGTTTATTAATTATTTATTAATGGAAGTTAATATTCACATGGCAATAGTAGCTACTATTTACAAGAAAAATAATTAATATTGCAATACTTGCAAGACTTTATAATTTCAGTCTTTATGTTAATGTTGTAATTTCCTGTGTATTTGTATAATATTCTGTTGTAAATAAAGTTTTTCTTTAAATCACGGGTTTCTGTCAACTCAGGCCACACATGTGGTACAAATTGGGCGGGAATAAGTATGCGCATGTGCAGAACAGACCATACAGGAAGGTACTAATCATTGCAGACTGTACCGCGAGGGAGGATTTGATGCAGCTTGAGGTTTTTGACATTTCCTGACAGTTGAAAGAAAGAGAAAGTAGATTTGGACATTGTTGAACAGAGCTGAGACGCCATCACAGGGTGAGAGATCTCTGCTGGAAAACACACGTTTGGAGTATTTGAAACAATCAAGGGAAGAGACGTTCACTCGGTGAGTCTGTTGAAAAATAACTTCAGTATCAAATGGCTGAGAAAATAACTCTTGTTGAAAGTTCCCTGAACTGCCACATGTGTTCAGAGACTTTCAGAGATCCTGTGTCTCTGAGCTGCAACCACAGCTTCTGTTCAAGCTGCTTGCAGAAATTCTGGGAACAAGCTGTAAACAAAAACTGCCCCATTTGTAAAAGACAATCATCAAAGGATGATCTAGAAGTGAACTTTCCACTGAAGGACCTGGCTGACTCCTTTGCTGAGAGAAAGAAAGCTGGATCATCTGAGACAGCAAAAGGAGAGAAGAAGGTGGAGGCCTTGTGTGAAAAACATCCAGACGTCCCTTATTGGTTCTGTGAGGACGAGCAGAGAGCTGTGTGTCCTGTCTGTGAGTTTTCTCTCCACCAGAGTCACAAGGTGGTTCCTGTAGAACAAGCAGTCCGGGACCTGAAGGAGCAGCTGAAATCTGACTTAGAGTCTCTGCAGGACAAGAGGGACAAATACAAACAAGTGGAGGAAACATACAATGAAGTGATTCAACAGTCCGAGAAGCAGCTGTTGTCCACAGAGAGGCAGATCAGAGCAGAGTTCAACAAGCTCCACCAGTTCCTGAAAGAGGAAGAGGAGTCCAGACTGGCAGCTCTGAGGGAGGAAGAGGAGCAGAAGAGGAAGACTGTGAGCAGAGAGATGAAGAAGATTCAGGAGCAGATGTCCTCTCTGTCAGACAGGATCTCTGCTGTTGAAGAAGAGCTGCAGAAACCCAGCGTGCCATTCCTCAGCAGTTATAAAGCCACTCAGACCAGAGCCAGAGTCCAGCGCTCACTGTCAGATCCACAGCTGCTCTCAGGAGCGCTGATAGATGTGGCCAAACACCTGGGCAACCTGTCCTTCAGAGTCTGGGAGAAGATGAAGGACAAGGTCCACTTCAGTCCTGTCATTCTGGACCCAAACACTGCTTACCCCCGTCTCAATCTGTCTGATGATCTGACCAGTGTGAGACGTGGAGACACAAAGCAGCAGCTTCCTGACAATCCAGAGAGAAACACTAAGTATGCCCTTGTTCTGGGCTCTGAGGGCTTCAGCTCAGGGAAACACAGCTGGGAGGTGGAGGTGGGAGACCATCCTGGCTGGACTGTAGGTTTGGCTAAAGAGTCAGTTGACAGGAAGGGAGAGACATTTCCCTCACCAAAATATGGATTCTGGTGTTTAAAGCATCACAGTGGAAAATACACTGATGGAGTTGGTAAGACTGTCAGAGTGAAGAAGAGTCTCCAGAGGATCAGAGTCCAGCTGGACTATGACAGGGGGGAGGTGTCCTTCTACAACCCTGAAGACATGACTCACATCTGCACTCACAGAGACACTTTCACTGAGAAACTCTTCCCATATTTATATATTGGTGCAGCTGGTGATGCTGAAACCTCTGATATCAAAATCTGTCACACTGAGATTTCTCTGTGACGTTCAGGAATGTAAGTTTATTGTTCCAACTTTTACTTTCAGACTGTTTGAGGTTTATTAAACTCTAAACTCATCATCACTCTTCACACCCAAACATTCTTGATCTGCTCGTCTTTTATATCTAAAGCAGATTTCATTTGGTGTTGAGGGTCAACAAATTAATTTTGCTGACTGTTTCTGTAGTTTGAAAGATAATTAAGACTTTACTCCGATCTCAATGTCTGTCTAGATCACATTAGAAAAATCAGCATGAATAAAAGTTAAAGCAGATTAAAATGATATCTAAATACTGAAATTGTTTTATATCATCCGGCCTTGAGCTTTCATCCAGGTTCAAATCAATTCTCATGTTCAGATTCTAACATGTTAGCCTGGTCAGCAGCATCTGGTTTTTAATCAGACCACAATATAACATGTCAAGTATCCACTATACCAACACGTTGCTTCCTGTTGTGGGATTCTTTAACTTTAATCATCATCAAACATCAGTTTTACTTTGAGAGATTTCTGGATCTTCTGTTCAGTTCAGGATTCACTTTAGTTCAGTTCAGTCAAAATGTATTAAAGGTTGGAACTCCTGCTTTAGATATTCATTTTACTTCTTCATGGAGTTTGTGGCTTTTCAAAAAGAAATAGTAGTAGTGTGTTAGTTGAGCTGCCTCTTAAATAAAGTTTAATCTCCAAGAAAATGCTGAAACTGTATGACGTCATCAGGAGACAAAGTTCTCCTGGTTATCAACATCTGGAGTCAAACAACATTGTACAGTAGTTTGTATCCACTGTACCAAATGCTGCGTTTCACTTTTCTCTTTTTAACATCATCAGTTATAGTTTTTGATGCTTTGAGTCTTTTGAGTTATTTCAGGTTTGGATCTGTTGTTTTATTTCTTTTTAGAAAAAACTGTTCAAATTGATTTCAATTTTAATTTGGACCTTAATTCTTACAGTGCTTCTTTATACTGCAGTTTGTAGTGAGTACATCATCAGTAACATGATAAATAAACATGATACGTGATAAATCTCCAGTTTATGATCAACATAAAGAAAATACCAGCAGTACAATTTAGTTTAATGTTTTTTTTATTGCTTCAGCTATTTCTTAATAAAGTAAATGTACATCAGCTGCTTCACATGATGTGTAATTAAACCACCAGCAGTTTTTATTCCTTTTTCCTTTACATAAATATTTTAAACAGTCATGTGACTGAAAATACAAATTAAATTACAGATAACAGTTAAATCTAAATGTATTTATTTTCAAAACAACTAATTCTTCACTGAAACTCTTTCAACGTCAACATTTGTGGACAGCCAAACTAATTTAGTTCAAATGTCAGTTTGTAAAGTCACATGACGGATTAACTGACTGTATAAAAAGAAACCTGAAACAACCTCATTCCACCTTAAAGAAGGCTAAAGAAACAAACATGTGATGAATAAAGCGTATTGGAGAAGAGCTGTGCAACTTTACCCTCCTACAACTTCACTGCATGATTATAAACTCTAAAAAGGCAGTTCAGAGTTTAAATTAAAATATATTTTCTGACTTTTCCACTTTGTATTTGTTAAAAACAAGCAGAATCCTAATTATAATTTGAAGGTGTAACAGTATGTTGTTACTGGGGTCTGTTACAGACAGGGAGCACTGAGGGTTATACAGACAGAGATGTAGCGTCTGAATTATTTGCTCTTTAGGAGAATTAAGAGTTTCACTAAAGATTCGGTTCTTTAAAGGAGTTGAGTCAGTCAGCAGGACTGTATAACACTAACAGTGTATGAAGGGTGTAGAAATGGAGAAGCGTTCCCAAGAAGAAAACATTGTTTGCTTTCACTGTCACATGTGATTCATGTTGTAACCTACTTAATGCAGTCTCAGGGACAACATGCTCACATGTGCATAATGTCATCAGCATATTGAATGTACAGCACGTGACGGCATGGACACATTTTCTTCCCGTAAACGTCACAAGACGGAGACAAAGTACACGTTTTGTTCACAGCCTGGTCATTTTCAACTCTTTTATTTCCACTTTCTGACACTTAATTATGTGCATTAAGGTTTGTTGTTGATCAGTAGCACCACCTCTTAGCAGTTTCAGATGTTTCTTTAAAAAATATCCTTCATATAATGTTTGTCAGCCAAACTGTCCAGATAGGTCTGGGCAATAAAACAATAATGATAATTATCAGTGTATAATCTTCCTCAATAACAAGATAACAAATGATTTAAATGATTTGAACAAACAAATCAGCACTTAATTTTTCTATTATGATTTTAATTTTGTTGAAGAAAAGGGACTGAAAAAAATATTTTCCTTAATTTTTGTTAATAGATTTTATAATTATTTTGAATGCCTCAAATGATGTGAAATTATATATTGTGATAACATTTTTGGCACCTTGAAGACGCTGAAAGAAGATAAATGTTGTTTTAAAGTGAAGACTTGATCATGTATTTATTTTACAGTTTTTATCTTCTAATGATAAATACAGCTGATGCAGGATTTAACTTACATGACTCAAGTCTTGTGATTCTTACTGTAGATAAGAGGGTAAAGAGAATGAATGAATGAATGAATGAAAGGGAGAGAAAATGTGCCAAAAAGTAAATCAAATAGACCTCGACTGAAAGACTTTTATTTTCTGGATTCTGCATCATGATTATTATTTGTACATTTACTGTAACACAATGTTTACAAAAACAGAAGGCTAATAAAAGTGATGTTTAAAATATTTACCCTGTGAATTTTACAGAGGCTTATTGAGGGATGAGAACAAGTTGAAATGAAATGAAATTTAAACAAAAGCTTTCTTTTGCTTTCATGTTAACAGCTTGTTCTATATTTAGTTCAGCTGGATTCAATGAACACAGTTTGGCTTTTTATGAGCATTTTAATTCTTTATTTAGAGAAAGAAAATTACAGATCACATTTTTTACCCAATTTCGTGTTTGTCTTCCTACAGACACCTGTACATGGAAACTGTCCTGTACTGACTCTGACAGACATCCTGACTGCGCCATCTGCTGGTGAGAAGATGACATGGCAACACTTCCTGCTGTTCATTCAGCCCGTGACAGAGGAGAGATCATAGACTGAGAGTGTGAAAGTTAAACTGACAGTAGATTTGGACATTGTTGAACAGAGCTGAGACGCCATCACAGGGTGAGAGATCTCTGCTGGAAAACACACGTTTGGAGTATTTGAAACAATCAAGGGAAGAGACGTTCACTCGGTGAGTCTGTTGAAAAATAACTTCAGTATCAAATGGCTGAGAAAATAACTCTTGTTGAAAGTTACCTGAACTGCCACGTGTGTTCAGAGACTTTCAGAGATCCTGTGTCTCTGAGCTGCAACCACAGCTTCTGTTCAAGCTGCCTGCAGAAATTCTGGGAACAAGCTGGAAACAAAAACTGTCCCATTTGTAAAAGAAAATCATCAAAAAATGATCCAGGAGTCAACTTTCCACTGAAGGAACTGGCTGACTCCTTTGCTGAGAGACAGAAAACTGGATCATCTGAGACAGAAAAAGGAGAGAAGAAGGTGGAGGAGGTGTGTAGTAAACATAAAGAAGAGCCTAGATTGTTCTGTGAGGACGAGCAGAGAGCTGTGTGTCCTGTCTGTGAGTTTTCTCTCCACCAGAGTCACAAGGTGGTTCCTGTAGAACAAGCAGTCCGGGACCTGAAGGAGCAGCTGAAATCTGACTTAGAGTCTCTGCAGGACAAGAGGGACAAATACAAACAAGTGGAGGAAACATACAATGAAGTGATTCAACAGTCCGAGAAGCAGCTGTTGTCCACAGAGAGGCAGATCAGAGCAGAGTTCAACAAGCTCCACCAGTTCCTGAAAGAGGAAGAGGAGTCCAGACTGGCAGCTCTGAGGGAGGAAGAGGAGCAGAAGAGGAAGACTGTGAGCAGAGAGATGAAGAAGATTCAGGAGCAGATGTCCTCTCTGTCAGACAGGATCTCTGCTGTTGAAGAAGAGCTGCAGAAACCCAGCGTGCCATTCCTCAGCAGTTATAAAGCCACTCAGACCAGAGCCAGAGTCCAGCGCTCACTGTCAGATCCACAGCTGCTCTCAGGAGCGCTGATAGATGTGGCCAAACACCTGGGCAACCTGTCCTTCAGAGTCTGGGAGAAGATGAAGGACAAGGTCCACTTCAGTCCTGTCATTCTGGACCCAAACACTGCAAACTGCTGGCTCTGTCTGTCTGATGATCTGACCAGTGTGAGACGTGGAGACACAAAGCAGCAGCTTCCTGACAATCCAGAGAGAAACACTAAGTATGCAGAAGTTCTGGGCTCTGAGGGCTTCAGCTCAGGGAAACACAGCTGGGAGGTGGAGGTGGGAGACCATCCTGACTGGACTGTAGGTTTGGCTAAAGAGTCAGTTGACAGGAAGGGAGAGAGATTTCCCTCACCAAAATATGGATTCTGGTGTTTATCGTATCGCAGAGGAAAATACACTGATGTTGTTGGTAAGACTGTCGGAGTGAAGAAGAGTCTCCAGAGGATCAGAGTCCAGCTGGACTATGACAGGGGGGAGGTGTCCTTCTACAACCCTGAAGACATGACTCACCTCTGCACTCACAGAGACACTTTCACTGAGAAACTCTTCCCATATTTCGGTATTGGTGCAGCTGGTGATGCTGAAACCTCTGATATCAAAATCTGTCACACTGAGATTTCTCTGTGACGTTCAGGAATGTAAGTTTATTGTTCCAACTTTTACTTTCAGACAGTTTGAGGTTTATTAAACTCTAAACTCATCATCACTCTTCACACCCAAACATTCTTGATCTGCTCGTCTTTTATATCTAAAGCAGATTTCATTTGGTGTTGAGGGTCAACAAATTAATTTTGCTGACTGTTTCTGTAGTTTGAAAGATAATTAAGACTTTACTCCGATCTCAATGTCTGTCTAGATCACATTAGAAAAATCAGCATGAATAAAAGTTAAAGCAGATTAAAATGATATCTAAATACTGAAATTGTTTTATATCATCCGGCCTTGAGCTTTCATCCAGGTTCAAATCAATTCTAATGTTCAGATTCTAACATGTTAGCCTGGTCAGCAGCATCTGGTTTTTAATCAGACCACAATATAACATGTCAAGTATCCACTATACCAACACGTTGCTTCCTGTTGTGGGATTCTTTAACCTTTTTATAATCATCAGTAGTTTCTGGGTTCGGTCTGAAGAGTTATTTCAGTCTTGATGATGTAATTTCAGTTTGTAAACACTTTACTCTCAGAGAATCAAAATGTTTTCTGGCTCTGATTGAATTTGAACTTTTGTTGTCTAAATAAACATCATGTAATCTGTTACTTTTGTTTTTGTGTGCGCTCCAGGAAGTGTAACTGCTAAAAGAATACTAGTAAATGCAGATCTACAGAAACAAACTGATAAAAAGTCACAACACCCAACTTGATTCTGGTCATTATTTTCTCTCAGTCTGCTCGTCTCCCTGCTACACTGACTCACTCACCTGTCAGCAGCATTTCCTGCCTGGGACTTATATCCCTGGCTCTTTACCTTGTGCCTGCCTGGTGAAGTCTGTCGTTCTTTGTTTACCTGACTGATTTCATGACTCCTGCCAATTTTTTTTTAGAAGTTAAAAAAAACATCTTACTGCCTGGTCTGTTGTTTTTGCTTTTGGGTCCAAACCTGCCTTTACTGACTTATTGTTACTTGTTGAAAATGAAAAATAGTTTTTGGAAAATGATGCCCATTTTGAATTTTATGCCAGCAACACGTTTCAAAAAACAAAGACTTTAAAAGTTGAACATCTCACAATTAATCACCGAACTGTTGCATTCTTCATTTGTGATGCTATTCCAGGCTTTTACCGCAGCTTCTTTCACTTCTCGTTTGTTTCGGGGTGTTTCTCCCTTCAGTCTCCTCTTAAGGAGGTGAAATGCAGCTCTGTTGGGTTAAGGTCAGCTGATTGACTTGGCCAGTCTAAAACCTTCCACTTTTTTCCCCTGGTGAAGTCCTTTGTTTTGTTGCCAGTGTGTCATTGTCCTGCTGCATGATAAACTTCCTCCCCATTAGTTTCAATGCATTTCTCTGTAAATTAGCAGACAATGTTTCTGTAAATCTTGAGATGGCTGCCGCCGAATGTGTGAAAATAACCGATATGTTTGCTACCGGGGCTGCAGTAGCTTCAGCATCAGCTGCAGTACCCGACACTATGCAGCCACTGGCACTTGAAGGAGTAAAGGAGAGGCGTGGCCACTGTCAGGCAGAGGAGGAGGTGTGTGACAGCGGAGCAGAGTGGCAGGGCCGAGGCACAGAGAGGAGGAGACTGGAGGTGAATGGGAAAGCATGGAGTAGCTCGACCTGTAGGGAGGGAGCAGGGAGGTGGGGTCATAGGTGTCATTTACTCTGGGGATGCTGGGGATGTGTCTCCACCTCGTTTTGAAACCATTTGGTAAAAGGTTTTTAAAAAACAGCAACAAGAAATCTTAAATAACAAATAAAAATGCTTTGACAAAGGTTTATTTGCACAATTAGAAAATATGCAATGAAGTGTAAATACAGAAGAAACAGATCTGCCTTTTTCAAAAAGGCTACAAAAGCAAGTTAATGATTACTGCATTATATTATATTATATTTACATATTCTGATTTGTCACCGGCCTCCTGAATTTTGTTTCCCTTGATATAAATAAACAGTTCCAACATTGGTGCAGAAAATGTCTCTAGAATGCAGGAAATTAAGTGTTTAATGCTCAAAATCTTACCCTTTTAAATCTGGATTTACAGCGACGACTGTATCTAAAGAAGGGTTAGAGTCCCTAAGTAACTAAGGGGGGGTAGAGTGGGAGATGGGGAATCAAAGGAGTACAATAAGCAAAGGTGGGAGACCTGCCCGTTTTTATTTTCTATTTAACTTTTAAAACTTTTTTATATTTCCCTGTGGCTTTTATGTTTTATGTAAAGCACTTTGAATTACCTTGTTGAAATGTGCTATACAAATAAACTTGCCTTGCCTTCTAATGGATTAGTTTTAGTCGATGAAAACTGAAGAGATAGTTTCTTTGTCTTTGAATGACGAGAGAGTTCAGAGATACAGTTTGAGATAGTTTTAGGGAACTGCTTTTCTTTGTCAGAAACAAATTAGTACAGACAGAGGCCCAGAGTCCTAGACTTTGAAAACTCCTGTCTTAGACTTTATGATTTGTGGTTTTCAGTTTTTTTTTATTTCTTTTGGACCTTTTTTTTTAAATGACCTGCCTTTTCTCCGGGCCTGCTAGCGCTTCAGCAGCTAGCTCCCTGGCTGCTTCCCCACCGGCCTGCTTAACACACTCAGCCCGCTAACTGCCAGTCGGGCTGAGTCCAGTTCAGTCTCCTGTGTTTTTTGTTAACTGTGTAATGAAATCAGCCCAATCTGTTAGCTCTTCACCAACTAACCTGTCAGCTGGTCCCTCAGCTGTGAAGTCTCAGTAGGAGACTTGGATCTCGCCGCCCTCATGCCACTGTGCAGTCCTGCCCTACCGAGTCAGCACAGAGCAGCTCTTCACCCTCTAAATCACCACTGCTCAGCTCCAAGTCATCGCTGCTGATCGACCCTTCATCCTCATCGCTGCCCTGCTCATTGTCCACTTCAGTTGAAGGTTTATACATTGTTAAAGCGTTACTGAACACTTTTTCCTGAACCAGTATTGTGTTACCAGAAAATAATTCTAAGCTCAAACTCAGCACCACAGACCTTTAGGGCTATTTGGTCAAGACGTGCAGATGGACAGACGTGCATCGGTTGAAACTACCAATCATAATGGAAAAGCAGATACTTAACAAGCTTACGTACTAACTGCCAGCACCTAGGTGACCTATACAACACAGGCCAACTCCACGTAGCTCTTCAGTCCCATCCTCTCCTTCAGGGCTCTCCAGTGGGTGGAAGCCATCCCCAGTTTCACTGTCTGGGGGCTACTCACCCACCGACCACAAGATTGATCCCCGGAAACGTTCCCAACACACAGAATAGAAAATACAGGCAGAGGGCAGGCTCTCTGTGGATCCAGACACTGCCACGCACGTTAATGGGTCAGAAGTGATGATAATAATAATAATAATGATAATAATAATAATAATCTTTATTTGTAGAGCACTTTACAAAGTGCTTAACAAGTGTAAAGACAATAATACCCAAGAGACAATAATACAAAAACAATACAAGATAAAAGCATGAAAACATTGAAAAGACTAAAATACAAGTTTAAGATTAAT